CATCGGCACGCATCATTCCGAATTGCCAATTCGATTAAGCGAAATTCCCTTATGAGTCCATACCACTCTGAAGAGAACTGAAAACCAATTCAAAATCTGGTTAGGTTGATGCAGTAAAAAAGGCGGTATTGCGAATTCTCACTTTGACGTGCTGACTTTCTGAAAAATCTACATTTCTTAATCAATAAAAACCTTCAAAGGCAGCAAACTTTTTGCTACATAGCGCACATTCATCTACACATCACAAACGAGCACAAAAATATGGATTGAATAACAAAAAATTTCTTTCAATTCTGTAGACATGTCATAATTCCCTTAAAAATTTGTTGATTGAAATGATAGTGTAGCTTGTAGACGCAAACCAGTAGGACAAAAGAAGATAGAAAAGATTTGTACAGAGGCGATTTGCGAAAAGAAAAAAAAATCAAAGTTAAGTTGTCACATTTGACTTGATTGTAGAGCCTTGTGCGAAGGTCAACAAATTCTTTATTCGGGCTTACGTTTCGGCATCGTCGCCTTCTTTAACTTATTGTTAGATTGTCATTTTTACATTTTTTGGTAGGTGACAAAGTTCCGAGCCATAAAATTGTGATTTTTTGAGTAGTAAACAGCTGTTTTCGTCAAAAGTGTAAACAGGATGCCCTACCCTAACCCTTAGAGAAATGTGCAGAACTTCGGCAATCTTCTTCAGAAGTGAGTTTTGTGTCATAGAAAGACAACATGGCTATCCAAGCTGAGGCGGCACAATCTCAATTTACATAATTTGAGAAAAATTAGTCAAGCATGCATGATGTAACTCTGTAGCAAGCTCTGTAACTTTTCAAACCATAGTTGGATAGAGCATGTAAAGAGCTTCTTAATGGTATGCTAATAGGCTGAACGTTAAAAAATGGAGCAGCTTGATTCTTATTACATTTTGAAAATTTTTTTGTTCCCACCACAACAAGTAGGCTGCTTAATATTAGGTCGTTCCGAAAGTAATGTCGCTTTTTTCAAAGTATGCCACATTTCGTGGAACAAAGATGTGTACGAGATTCTGGTAGCATTTGATGCAGCATTTCATTCTCTTTCTAATGGTTCAATGAGCTTCCAGAAAAGAGTCAAAATTTGCGACCTATGCTTTTTGAGATGGCCAAGTTTCACAATTTTTCTAAAATTATATAACAAACCTCAGAAGGAGCCCAAGTAATAGATGGATGGAGCAAACCCTACAAGAAACAGCACAACACTTTTTTCTACATTCCAGAGCTCGTCATAAGTTTTGCACAGATTTTGATGAAACCACCAAATTTCGGCAGGCTCGCCTCAGACACAAACGCATCAAACGCCAACATGTCTCCGGATTTTGAAACTTACAAAGATGGATTATGGTTTGGTTTTTTTCAATTTTACAAATCAAACGAGCATTCACCGCTTCAGATTAGCAGCTTTCGAAAATTCCGGGTACAGCCGGAAGCGCCCTGGAAAACTTGAATTATGATGATTTTATCTCGGAAAACTTGATGAATCGGAAACCAAAAACAACTGGTAAAAAGAGGAGAAAAAGCTGCGTCGAGTGACACCCGAGTTGCTTGCCGGTTGTTGTTTGAGAGGTTTGAGTTGACCAAATATGGAATTTGATGGCATTGAGAAATTGATTGTAGAAACTCTGAGAAGCAAGCTAAGGAAAAGAAAAAGTTAATACGTGTTCTATAGTGTTTGTTCTATCTACCTGTCACTTGCACTTTTTCGGAGATTAGGTACAAAAATTTAGAAAAATAGCCAAACTTGACCATGGCAAAAAGCATGAGTCGCAGATTTTGGTAACATTATGCAGTGAAAATACAACCATTAGAAAGAGGATAAAATGCTGCATTCTAATGCTCCTAAGATTTCTTGAAAATCTTGATTCCATCATATGTGGCGTTCATTTGAAAAAAGCGACATTACTTTCGGAACGACCTAATATATGATATTCAATATTATTTTGAATATTATATTAAGTTGGTCCGAAAGTTCTGTTCCTCCATTTTCAAAAAATCATAACTTCTTCCTAACACGATGTTTTTGCATGGCTAAAACCATATTGAAAAGAGCAATTCATGCACTTTCTAAAACTATCTTGGCTGCTATCTAGTAAGCTCTAATTGCAGAGATAAAAATGGGGAAATGAAATAACTTCAAGTTCGGAATTTTTAAGCAAGCCTCTTAAAAATGCAGAACTGTGCCATAAAATCCAAAACAGTTAGTAACCTAGGTTTTCTGATCCCCTCTTTTTATACAAGCAAAATTCGCGCTGATGGAGCTTTTCTCAGAAGAGTTATTATTTTCAAGAAAAAAAATGCCAAAAAATCACTTTCTTAAGAAAATTGATTTTTAAACATTTTTTTTCAAAAAATCATAACTTTCAAAGAAACAACTCGATCAGCACGAACTTTGACAGCTAAAAAGAGGGAATCAAAAAGTCTAGGATAGTGGCTGTTTGAAATTTATGGCACAGTTTTGCATTTTTTAAGAGGCTTGCTTAAAAATTCCGCACTTGAAGTTATTTCATTTCCCCATTTTTATCTCTGCAATTAGAGATTACTAGATAGCCGGGAAGGTAATTTTAGAAAGGGCATGAATTGCTCTTTTCAATATCGTTTTAACCATGCAAAAACATCGTGTTAGGAAGAAGTTATGATTTTTTGAAAATGGAGGGACAGAACTTTCAAACCAACCTAATATACAGGGTGTCCCAAAAAGATGTGCACACTGTTTGATTGTAAATAACTCTTTTGTGGTGAAGTGTTTCGAGAAGCTTTAGGTACCATTTTGTAGAGCGAGGTTCAACTTAGATTTACAGTGCAGAGCGGATCGCCGATCTCTCATTCTTACTGTAGGATTACGGTAGAAACTTTGAAGAGGGTTTTGAGCCATAAAAGGCCATATTTTGCTCCAAAAAGAAACCAAAACAACCTGAAAACTCTCACACTGGGCTAACTAGAGTTGCTGATTCTAAATGTGAAGTTCGCAACTCTTCCTAATGCTTCATTAAAAAATTATGCGAGGTAAGCAGTAGCAGACGTTTTTTAAGTGTTCCCAAAAAGTGCGGTTACACCGTTTAGAAAGCTTCTCAACCTTGTAAAGAGTTGGGTATTGAACTCAGGGTCCATAAAAACCCTATTACACAAATTTCCACATTTTATTTGAGAATTTTTGAAACGGCCCCTTTTTTCACAGTGACACCATATGTTTGAAGTTTCTACCGTACTCCTACAGTAAGAATGAACGACCGGCGATTTGCTCTACACTGTAAATCTGAGTTGAACCTCGCTCTACAAAATGGTACCTGAAGCTTCTCGAAAGACTTCACTACAAGAGAGTTATTTACAATCAAACAGTGTGCACATCTTTTTGGGACACCCTGTATATTAAATAAATATTAATAGAAACAGTGATTCTGCATCAGACAAAATGGACATGTCTACATGCAGTAAGTATATAAACTCTTTTCAAAATTTAACAAACCCAACGAAACATAGAATCAGCGTTGCTGCATCTGTTTCAATTTTTCGCAAACAGAATACGCAAACCAATCATGATGGGAATTTACTCAAGACAAAGCACTGATTATAGAGAAACAAAAACATGTTTTCCAGTATCAAAAGAATCGTCGATTCTTTTGATACTGGAAAACTGAAGAACGAAGTGGTAATGAAAACCCAGCAATAAGAACATATTGGTCCACTATAGTTTTAGCACATCCATGGTCTATCAAGAAGTCAGTCATCGCGAACATGTTTAGAACAGCAAGAAACATCGCGTCGGGGGCAGAAGAACGATCGGAGTCGATGCAGTTCGCATACCAAGTAGCAGAAGGCAATGGGTGTTCAGTGAGGGCATGCTGTCGATCTAGGACTCGAGCAGCTGAGAGGGACTTGCGTTCTGTCGAGAAGATGATTCCCTTTTGCCTGCCCTACGTATCGGAAGAAATGAGCAAGACAATAAGAGCATGTTTACGCCAGGCGGGTTTACAGGATTCGGTGAGGATTGTAGATAGCCCATTAATAATTTTAAGCGGCGGCTAGTAAGAAACAGAGCTTACTACCGTCTTTGCATGAACCTCAACTGCGTTATTTGTCTCTATGGCAGAGAAGGAGATTGCACTGTATCCGGTGTAGTTTACCCAATCACATGCCTTTCATGCGGAGAGAATATGTTGGGAAGCAGTGGTATCAACGCAGAGTACTATTAAGGAACACCTGGACGGGCTCAATAAGTCAAAAAGTTCAACGCCTTTGGGAGCGCACCGCCAAAATATCATAGCGGTGCTGCAGTTAACGTAAAGGTCACGATCTTGTCGTACGAACCGGAAAATTGTAGCACGCAAAACTCTTTAAGCGTTTTGGATGATGGCTAAAAAACCAAAATCAAACCGCAAAGACGAGTGTATAACAGTGACTCAAGAGCTTGCCTCCTACCATATCTTATGTAAATTTAATCTACAGGAGGAATGAGGTTTGCGTTGGCGGGCTGCGTTGGCGGGTCCTCATAGCATAAATATGCGCGTTACAATCAGTGGCTATCATTAGTCTCTCATACGGGTGGCCTTGGCTCTAACAATCACTGCATTACAGTGAGTACTCCTTCAAGTTCATTTTCATTCGCTTTCGTCTCTTTTGATCTCTTGAATGGATCTCTGAGGTCAGATGCGGCGTTTGAGGGGATATGTCATGAGTGGTTTGATTTTCAGGACGCTCTGACGAAGGCGAGGACGCCGAAGCGTCAGCATCAATAAAGATCATACCATCTTGGGCAACGCTTGAACACAAAATCAATATTAAGAATCGTCGATTGTTCACCGCACGTACTGCTCAAACGCTACGGATTACGCGCGGCGCGGCTGGATTGTCGCGAGAACACGATTTGTACAATGGCAAATTTGTAATGGAGCAAGCTAAGTCGCGGCGCATGCTCCGCAGTAGGTCCAGTCCGTGCGGTCAACGAATCAACTATTTACAGCTATTTTTCGCAAGTATCTAAATATCTGTAGGAGTATCGCCATAACGTTCCGCGCTATCCATGCGAGGAACTCGCCGTGACGAACTAGCGAGAAGTACGGGGCTTTTGCAGATTATACTCAGTACCACACAAGGTCGATGGCTTTCCGTCCTACCTCCAGGGAGTGGTCGGGGATAATCGGGGTGGCGATGGCTGCCTGGTCGCGAGACCCTGGCGGGTTCGGCCTCTCCACCCCCAAATCGTTTAAGCTGGGACTCGCTCGCTATGAACGTTCCATCTCGACCTCCCTGCCTATATTTGGGAACACTCGAAAGAGTCGACAGTGCGTCATTCGAAAATAAGGGGAGGGGGGGGAGAGGTTTCGAAAACAAAAGGGATGGAGATGCTGTCGTACATACGGAGAAGATGGTGGTCGAAGGAGTGAGGCAAGCAGGGCAATGGAGGGGGGGGGGGGTGGGTTCAAAGAAGATGGTGTCCTTCGAAATGAATACGGATTTACTTCAGCAGAAAAAAAGTGCAAAAAACGCATATAGAGAAGAGGCTCATTAAGTCACAAACCTCCTTCCAAAATCAGAGAATCATGATATTCCACAGTGAAAATGATAATTAAAATTGTGATAAATGAGTGAACATTTAGAGTACAAGTGTTCCGTAAGTTTACTTAGAAAAAATGAATTTTTTCGTGGATGAAATCCCTTTTCAAGACTCTAGCACTGCCTGTTTTGCAAATAGAGAACAAATCACCTATTTTTTTTCTATTTTTTTATTTTTTTCTTGATTTTAGGTGTAGAAGCTTTTTTACAGTCTGCCCCAATTGAGATCAGGCCGATCGACGGCTGAATTTGCGCTTCCGCAGCGCTAGAAATTTGCGCTGCGTACGCGTGCTGTCGCAGAGAGCGAAGAAATTTAGAAGAGAGCAGACTAGCTAGTCGTAGCCATGACGCAATACCTCGCGACGCGGACTCCCGCCATGCCAATTTTGGCCTGATTGGGATTGGAGCAGCTGTATATCCGGATGTCCGGGCTAAGTTGTTGACGTGAACATGAGACCCCTTCCTTGTTTGTCTTCCTCAGAATGAGGAAATAATAAGCTTTTCTCGTAAATGGGTATATGTATACTCAAATTCGGCAAATGAGGCACCTATCATCATAACTTATAATAACGGGTTAAGGGTGTTTACGTGACTTTGTGTGTGTGTGTGTGTCTGTCTGTCTGTCTGTAACGAAATTCATACAGCGGGTTCCAGCCAACATCCAGAGCCCATATTTTGCATAGCGCATGCTACCAATGTAGAACTCCACCATGCAAAAGCACGAATGGATTTGCTGGGTGGGCCCCTCAGAATTTGCGCGCCAAACGGATCCACTTGGCTTCTGGCCCGCAAAATTGGGTCCTTATCAACGCTTTTTTGCAAAGCCGTGGATGTGTTTAGCAGGCTGATGTGTAAGTCATGGACTTTAGACCAAAAAGTGACCAGAGGTTTGCTACTTTACGAAAACGACGCCAAAAGAAGTGTTCGCGTAAATGGTCAATCGGCCGTGGATTTACCTGAGTATTTGAGAAGATTTTGCATAGAGATGTAGCTCACGGCAACTATTGTCTTCATGGCGACTACCAAGCCAAAAAAGTTTCAAAACCTATTCAAACTTGCATTTGTTCTTTTGCGAAAAGTTACATCCACGCGAAATCACCGATCTTACATAAAAAAGCTTTTAGAATGAATAGTTGTTTACATTTTATTCGCGATAGTCAGCATTGCGCGATGAGTTTTAAAGCCATTAGTAGGAGAGAAAAAGTAAGGCATATAGAGTAGAACCAGTGCGAGCCTCTGCGAAGCAGAGGTGACGCACTGGTAACTTATAATAACGGGCTAAGGTTGTTTACGTGTGTGTGTGTGTGTGTGTGTGTGTGTGTGTGTGTGTGTGTGTGTGTGTGTGTGTGTGTGTGTGTGTGTGTGTGTGTGTGTGTGTGTGTGTGTGTGTGTGTGTGTGTGTGTGTGTGTGTGTGTGTGTGTGTGTGTGTGTGTGTGTGTGTGTGTGTGTGTGTGTGTGTGTGTGTGTGTGTGTGTGTGTGTGTGTGTGTGTGTGTGTGTGTGTGTGTGTGTGTGTGTGTGTGTGTGTGTGTGTGTGTGTGTGTGTGTGTGTGTGTGTGTGTGTGTGTGTGTGTGTGTGTGTGTGTGTGTGTGTGTGTGTGTGTGTGTGTGTGTGTGTGTGTGTGTGTGTGTGTGTGTGTGTGTGTGTGTGTGTGTGTGTGTGTGTGTGTGTGTGTGTGTGTGTGTGTGTGTGTGTGTGTGTGTGTGTGTGTGTGTGTGTGTGTGTGTGTGAATATAGAAGTTCTAGAAAGTCCAATTTAGTTCTGACATAGCTTAGAGGCGTAAACAGATTTGTGGGGCTGATATCGGGGAAGATAGTGGGTGACCGCGGCCTTTCAATATCTGACATATGCCATGACATTCGTTCTGAAACGCCGATTTCAAAACTGTGTTCGTTATCTGCGGTATTACTAGTCAGGAAAACCATCTCTTGCATCTGAGATGTTTGCACAAAGCACGTGTGTGGGTGCTAAAGCTGTGAAATATTTTAGCTGAAAGCGATGTTCATTATTGCACAACGGATGCCAGTTTGATGTCCGATTGTGCGAACATTGCGTTCGCTTTCCCAATCAATATTTCCTCTAAGAAAAACTTTCTGCAGATAATGAACATAGTTTCAAGATCAGGGTTTCAAGGCGAGCGAACTGTATAACATATCTTAAAAGGTCACTCCCTGAGGAGGTATAATTTGTGCTGCGTCTTTTCAGCACTATGTCGTGGCTAAGAACTGGTCAGTGATGTCTTAAAAATATGTAAAGGCTCTAGACTGCTTTTGAAACTGTAAGATGTATGTCGTGTACATAGTCAAAGTCCAGTTCTAAGCGATTTGTGAGGGCACTAACGAGCATCTTTGCTGATTTCAGGGCCTGGTCATTCATGTTGAGGGGTTCCTGCTAGTAACTCAGAAGTTTGCAAAAAAATTCACAACTAGGTCATTTTTTGCTTTTCAAAGTCTTCGGTTCAAATCCGTGTTGACATACTTCTGGATTCATATTCATACTATATTCATCAATCTTGCATATGCAAAAAATCGTTCTTATGTAGAGAGAGAATTTATACAATTTTTGTTGAGCACTTCTTGCAGCCAGTGAGTGCAAGCGTCAAGAGTTGTGATCATGTACTTCTTGCGATAACTCACGCCGTCTACATTTGGTGAACATGTGAGCAAACTGCAGTATATAAAACACTTAAGAATAAAACGTCTACAAAGTATCAGAAACGAAAACTTCAAAACACAAATAAATACAGAAAACATGTTTTGATTAACGATTTAGAATCAAAAGAAGACTATGGGAGCACTGGCGTTCACGCATCCTAGACTACTGCGGTCACGGAGTCATTCTTCCTTTCCTCTCTAATTCTACACGCCGAAAAACAAGTCATTTTTTCACCACTCACTAGCAAAAATCCCTCAAAAATCATTGTTCATTCACATAAGTTCTCCAGAAATTTTCCTATATGTCCTACTAGCAAAGTCCGCTTGATGATTTGAGTGCCTTGTCCATACATGTACTTGCAAACAATCACTTTCTTATATCATATAACAAGAAATTCTTAAAGAAAAAAGAGCATGGCATTCCAAATATGCTTATCAACGACAGCTCTACACAAACGCCGTCAGACTGCAGTCTGGCTCATCTCACGCGAGAGAACGTTGACGGCGTGGTAAACTGATATACGCAGCTCGTGACAAGGTTGCCACCGGTGCACAACAGTCGTCAGCTGTTCCAGGGAATGGCCGAATTGGGCTCTAGCGGCTGGAAGTACCACAGGATGCCTACCATAGAGATGAGTATCGCGTAGTCGCGCTGGCTTTCAAAACCAAACGGCATGGCCCAAACCTGATCTCCCTGCAAATTTTGTGAAGACTCGGTAGAGTCAACAGTTTCCCACTTTTCTATGCCTACTTTGTGATGAACAAAGATGAAGTGGCGAAAATAAAAAAAAGAGAAGGGAAGAAGAATGTATATATTTTGAGTTAGGCAACATGCATTACTAATACTCTTACCCTAAATCCTTACATTAAGTCCGCCTATCAGATAAGTCCACCCATCAGATAATTCCGCATAAGTACGCATCAGATAAGTCTGCTTTTTTGACAAGGAAAGCGATGAAAATGCACCCTCGCGCCGCCAAGAGTCCTGCAGATAATTCCGCTTTTTTTTTCAGATGAAAACAAGAAGGATGCGCAATTGCGCTGCCTTTCTGGTCTCAAAATGAAACAAAGCAACAGATTCTTATTCAGGTTCCATTCCAGGTTCATCATTATCAAAAACGTGGCTGACCGACGCTGGTTCTTCGTCTAACGACTAAATTCTTTTTCTTCATAAATGATTTGCACCACGAAGCCGATGCCTTGAAGTACTGCCGGCCAGATTCCTGCGCTAGCTGCAATGCCTTCGCTCGAATGTCCTTGACAAGCACTGCTCTGTTTGCTTCTCGCCTCTGTACAGTGCATGCATAGACAGCTTCCTCGATTTCCTCTACCTTTTGCTTCGCATAACGGTTGGCGCGTTTCCTCAGTGGCATATCCTCCAAATTCTCCTTATCGGCCTTCCATCTTCGAATCAGACGTGCAGAGACTTCGCAATGAGCAGCTGCAGCCGATGTTTCATGTTCCAAGGAATATTCTATAGCGTTGAGCTTGAAAAGCGCGGTGTAGGACTTCCTTCTAGTAGCCAGTGAGATCCGAGACACCTGAACAGCTTGAGTCACAGCATGTGAGACTATGACGGAAATATATGGCTCTGCGTGATTGCAAACTTTGCTGAGTTAGCGGTCATTGCACACTGAAATCACGCGGATTCTTATAAATTTGCGCTAATCATCCAAAGGTTTACTCTTTTGCAAGAAAAAGCATGCGGTATCAAATTTGAATACACTGTCTTTAGTCTTGGATGTACAGGCTTAATGAAACAACAATTGAGAAAAAAACAAAGAAGCCTAATGCTTTGCTAGGGTTGAGCATTCACAAACTATCATTCTTCTGTTCAATAAAGCATTTGGCAAAAGCCTTATAGCGTGGGTCAACAGAGACTAGGTTCAGACCATGTAAACAATACAGGAAGCAAAAAGTATAGGCAGCCAGGTTCAAAGTTGTAGCCTGTACAGGTTCGAGAGATGTTTTGAAAACATTGTCGCTTCCGAAACGATAAGAAGAATGATAAGATGAGATGATTTCAATGATATAGTGATGAAACCTATTATAATTTTGCCGGCAGAAATATTTCATATGTACAAGCACTGTCATATCTAGAAAAAGAACTCACCTATCCAGCATATGTGATGACGAATCCGCGACGATACTATCAGCAAGTAGACTGTACGACTTGTCGAATCCTTGGGCTCTTTCTTTCATGAGATATCGCGGCCTTGTTTGAATCTACACCGGCAAACTACGCGGGCTGTCGCGCGCGTCTATGCTCCTAGGTCGCGCTTGCTCATGTTCAGGGCGGACTTATCTGATGCGGTTTGATGAGAGGACTTATCTGCAAGGACCTTTGGCGGCGCAGAGGGCGATTTTTCGTCGATTTTTCGTGTCAAAACCAGACAAGTCTGGACTTATTGTACGGATTTTAGGGTAGTATACTTTAAAACATTCAACGAATTACTTACTCTTTGAACGAAATATGGACTTTAAAAAGGACTGCATGATCCTTCCACCTCTGCAAGGTGCGGGCAGGCGTCAACTGCGCCATTTGACTGGTTTGTGTCATAAAATTTTGAGCAATCTGGCAGTAATGCGGTCTTTCTTAATCGATACAGCTTCGTGCAATTGTGCTGTTCTGATGTTCATCTGGCGCTCTCTTTGTGAGAGAGACGTTTGCGGTCTAGCAAGCTAGTATACGGGGCTTGTGACAAGGCTGCACCCAGTGCAAAACAGGGAGCGACGTTCGTCTCATTTTCAGGGAACGGTCGAGATCCCGGGTGGGCTCGAGGGCCCTCCCATCCATCGCAAATACCCCACCCAGGTGGGCCAGTCCGAGCCATCCTTGTCGAGCCTGGCTCGCGATGGAAGAATCGGCAAGGCTCAACCTCCCTGCCTATTTTTGCAAAGACTCAAAAGAGTCGACAATCTGTGTGAAGAAAGAATCGTTGCCTGAAACAACTATATACTATCTCACATCGGTCTAAAAAGGCAAAGTAGGATAAAAACGAGAAGGGAAAAGATTTCTTTATTGCGAGGATGAACAATTTGCTTTTTGGAAAATTTCGTAAGTTACGTCAGCACCGTCAGCACCGTCAGCATATAATCTTTCTCTGGCGATGCTTGAGTTGAGAGTGACATAAAGCGATAGTTCAAATTGTAGACAGTTAACGGAAACAGATTTATCTTAACTGATTCTCTGTAGTATTTGACCCACTAGAATATAGCAAGATTATACGACAGTGAAATTGTAGGAGATGTACCATATTATGTGCTACGCACTGATAGATGTAATCGTATAGGCGGCGTTATTTGCTGTATAGCCAAAAGCACCATTTTAGTGAAGTCATGTTTTTCTGATACTAGTACTATGTCGGGTGTTCTTTGCGTTGACATATCGTCTCCGCAGAAGCCTACTTGTTTGCGATTTTCCGCAACTATCGGGCGCCTAAAAGCACGATCTCCAGTGATGAAGTCTTATTTAACTACAATACCGATCATAACTCGTCAAAAAAGTCGCCGGAGTGCGGCGCACTCCACCACACTCCGCCGCACTCCGGCGCACTGCGCCGCACTCCGCCACACTCCAACGCACTCTAGCGCACTCCGCCGGAGTCCGGCGACTTTTTTGACGAATTATGAGCGGTATTGTATGTAGAGCAGTCTGTTATATCCCCCTTGTTCTTCCACACTGGCATCGTTGCGCTCTTGTAACAATCGTTGGGCATCTTCTTGCATTCTACAATACCACTCACATAACTTGCAAAATTTCCGTGAATGTCGCGAAATTCCGAAAATTCCGCGAACTTTCCGGAATTTCGCGAAACTCCTGAAAGTTCGCGAAATTCCAGGAATTTCGCGGAATTTTCGGAATTTTGCGACATTCAGGGAAATTTTGCACATTCTGTGAGCGGTATTGTACTCGACGTGCTAACAACATTTCTTACATTGTTTTGCTGCTGGTGGCACATTGTAGGATAGAATATCTGCCAAATTACACGACTTTCGAATTTGAAAGAGAATTCATGAGAAGGCGATTTTGTAGCATCATAATCTGACGAACAATTCAAATAAAGATCTGTGCTAAGCATGGTCCGATAGAGCCTAATACCTATCCAAGGAGCTTATTTTATCTCTAATCTTGGTAGAAGCTAATTGGAGTGCGTGAACTACAGAAGAATGGATGTTTTTGGAGCGCAATCACTCCAAAAGCATTTAGAGCCATCTGAAAAAAGTAAAGATCCTGTTTTTGAACTGCACTGGGTTCAGTGTGTAGCGCATGTTTCAGACTTTGTTACTGTAACTCTACAAAAAATTTGGACTTGAAAGATTGCACTCGCGAATGAAAAATGGACCTTTGTTTGAGGTGTTCGTATAATTATGAACCGCTCAAAATTCGCATTAGGCGCAAAAACAAGTACTCTGCGTTGATACCACTGCT